ACATTATGACCATGTAACAATAATCACACAACTCTTTTCCAATAGTTTTGTCTCCATTCTTACTTCTGACTTGAGCTCCAGAATTGGATAACTAACTGGCACATGAATCTCAACTTGAAGTTTATTTAGCATACTGATCTTCAATTGCTGTTCCACATCCCTGTCCCAAAAAGCATTTATTTCTCATTTAATGATATAGAATCAATCTCATTGCTTAGGCCAAAAAACAAACAAAAAACAGATGTTACCCTTGGTTCTTCCCTAACTCTGCACATCTTACTACAAATCTGTTAGTTAGCCTCCTAAATATATATCCCAATTGAACCATTCTCACCTCCTCTACTCTGATCATCCTATCCCAAGCCACTGTTTATTGCTCACCTGAACTGTAATGATCTCCTAATTGACTTCCCTCTCTTTCCAACCTCCTTTCCCCACATCAAACAGAGCAGCCATGGTGTTCCCTCTAAGATGTATGCCAGTTCAAGACACACTCCTACTTACTATGATAAAAAAATCAACTTACTAAAATCAGAACTTCCCACAATGGAGCTAAAGAAAGAAATCTAATATCCACTGAATGGCAAAGCTATGAGTTGTGAAGCACCACAGCTGTTCTGTGTAGGAAACTTGTTTTGAGAGGAGAGGTCCCTCAGTCAAGAGAGGAAAGAGGGTACCACAAGAGAATTCTAGTATCACTTCAGTGTCTCATCTCTGATGTTCCTGATGCCAGATAGGCCTCTTCCTTTACATCATTTGATTATGTAAGGAAATACATTCTTCATTTCTGCCCAAGCTATTCTGAGTTAGGTTTCTCTTGCTTGCATGAAGTCTCAACTGCTCCAATCAAGGTGTACTGTTCTGGGATGAATTCTAAAAACAGACAAACAGAACTATTACCTTATCTCTTCTAGGGTAAAATCTAACAAATATTAGTTTCTCACTAAGAGATAATGAAACCTATTTGGGATAATATGTATAAGTAAAGTATCTAGAGAGTGTCCTTATTTCTAGTTCTGGTTCTTTTCCCAGTATCAGCCATGTTCATGCTCCTGGCAACTACCAACGGGGTAGCATAAGTATAGCAGCAGCAGCAATAAAAATAGTAGAGGCATGAGAGCATTGGCTATAGGTTCTCTAGGACTAGCAGCAGTTCAGCTAACAATGTGATCACAATAATGACAGAAGTTTGGGGTAATATCTATAGCTGAGCATAGAAAGAGCAAAACCAGGATGGAAGTGAGGCAAACAACAAGAAATAAAACCCAAACCATAGAGCTCAGGAATTTATCTGAGAAAACAGGTCTAGATTGGACACTCAATTTTAACCACAGTACATGAAAGGGTAACAATCTGTACATTATTAAGAAATATCCTTAATATGGTTTTAGAAAAGTTAACAGTTATACAGAGGCACATCCAGTAGATTTTATCTTTACAAATATTAAACAGAGTATTAAATACTAAAATTTAATTATTATGAATAAGAGTCCTAGTTCTGGACTTTAAAATTAGGATGGCTTGACTAATGCAAAACAGCCTGGATTGTAATTATTGTGTCCTTTGATGTTGCACTCATAGATTAATTCTGCGAGGCTGTTCATCTGATTCTTGGGCTTCAATGACAACAAAAAGAATTTAGACTAATGATGAAAAAATCTTTTTTGACAGTTCAAGTTATTAAATACCGACATAATATATAAAAGTGATTACTGAATCATTTTCTCTCAAAGCCTAAGAGAAAGCATAGATTCCCATCTTAGTTGGATGACTTAATAATAGTGGCTTATATTGGAGGCAAATGGAGGACTGAATAACTGCCAAATTCCTTCAAATTTGATGATTCAAATTGTGTGACAAAGTTCTTCATAGGCACCAGAAGTCTACGTCTGAAAGCTACTCCAGAGTGCTGGTGTGCATCATTCTGTGTTTTCATTTCTAACTCAAAACAGTATTTGTGTTGGAAAGAAAAAAGAAACCAGGAAGCAACTAAGGAAGAAGTAGTAAAGTAACATTAATTACCTTTTCTTTATTTACTTCCTTGGAACTACATAGAACCAGAATCAGAAGTAGTATCTATGAACACAAATTACCAATAGAATACAGGCTTCTAGAATTCTGACAATGGTAGTCTATCACTCACTATATTCTTCTACATAAAGCACTCCCATTGTGGCACAATTTTACTTTGAATTAAATAATGAGCAATAATTTTGTCATTTGGGGAGGCAGAGAAGAACTCTCTAAGTAATGCTAAAATAATTTAAATATCTCAATCTGACACCACAACATAGATTTCCAAAGCCAGGAACCTGATGAGTGAAATCACCTAACTAAGACTATACGAAAGCATTTATAAGGTATCATTTTAATAAAGGGCTGCTGTAAATATTTACTTAAAAAATTATAAGAAGTCTATGTGTTCTAAAATGGAAATTGAGAGAATTATTTTATGTTTGTGGAAAATATTAGATTCTTCTAGCAACAATTATTTTTTCTCAGACTTTTTTAAACTAAACTAAGTGCTTACAAATTGTATTCTTAAAGAAATCTCACATCTATAACTGAGCTTTCGATCTCATAACTTTAGTGATTGGATGTGGGAAAAGATAAAATCTAAGTTTAATAATACCAATGAAGAGAATGCTTGAAACCTGGGAATTGCTTTGAGACATATATTAAGTTGGGCCAGGGAGACAATATAAATGCAAAGACAAAAACTGGAAGAAAAGGCATTTCTGAGAAAAATGAGTTCAGGTTTTCAGTGAATTCAGTTACACGATGAATTACAAAAGATATATTGCTTTTGGAAGAAAAATAAAAGGAGGGAAGGGGGAAAGAAAGAAGGGAGGAAAGAAGAGACTAAGCTAATGAAGAAGGTACTGATGCATCTTAAATCACTGAAGTTTTAGGCAAATAAATATAATGTGTTTAGCATCATTAATATACGTGTTGTCACAGATGACTTCTTGGAAGCAAACAAATGACTTGTAAATCTTAAGTACACCAAGCTGCCTAAGAACATGCAATTGTAGTGAGGATACATAAAGCATCACAGAGTAAATGGTGTATCACTCTGATTCAGTGCTTGCTGTCATTTTCACAGAGATACATACACAACCAAAGGCAATGTATGAGTGATTCTGGAGGGATATTGAAGAGACGCTGAGCATATATACACAGCTATATAAATCGACTCTCATCCGTAGATAATTTAGAGACAGAAATAAACCATGTTATTATAACACAATGTAGCTTCTCTTGGTACCATAAAGACAATAAACATAAAAAAGACACTTTGAATGGTTCTATAGAGTCATAATGAAAATGACTTTCATATGGAAAATGCTCAAGCACTGTTTTCAAAGATTAATTCGCTTGAAATTGATTTGTTTAAAACCATTTCCAACTCCTGCATCCTGACATGCTTGATTCTTGGTCATTAAGCAATGAACCCTTTTGATGTTAGACCACATAATCACATTAGTGAAACTGAAATGTACAGCACAGAATTTTATTTAAAAAGTATAACTGCCAAAAGAAGAAGAAAATTAAAAGCATTTCTATCCAATCACTGAAAATTGTATTCTCAGTAATTTTTTTAGATTAAAGTGCCTGCAAGTATAATGTGTCTGTATCAGTGTTTAAAATGAAGCAAACAGCATTCTATTACTACTAGCTGCTAATACACACAGGAGTTTATGAAGTAATAGAAATCAGTTATTGTAAATAAAGTTGGTTCAGCTCTGTGGAATATTATCTCAAAATTATAGGAGTGGCCAAGAGCGGAACACCAAGTCAGGCCAATGTAGGTGTCTTTGTTTTCTTCACAATGTGACTTTTTTGGGAAAGTTACATAAGGCTTTGTAAGCCTCAGTTTCTTCATCATAAAAATGGGAGATAACATATGCTGTTTTAAGGATACAAATTTAAAACTAGTATGTAAATAAGTTGTAGGGATTTAATGTATAGAATAGTGACCATAGACAACAATACTGGATTGTAAACTTCTAAATGGTAAGAAACTAGATCTGAATTGTGCCCATCAGAAACATGAAATCATCGTTATGGGACATGATAGAGGAGTTAGCTAACACTATGGTGGTGAACATATGGCAATTTGTACCAAATCAACAGGTTGGGCATCTTAAACTCACACAGTGTTACATGTCAATTACATTTCAATTAAAATAAAGTAAAAGAAAAAATGTAGGAGATCATCATGCCTCCATTCTAGGTTTGTTGTGGGAATTAAATACAACAATGTGTATAGAGTGCTGATGGCAGAAAGCCCCCAATACAATTTTTAAATATTACTATTATCACTATGAGTTAATTTTTTTCTATCAAATGGGAACAGTAATAGGGTTTCATTGGTCTTTTCATATATTAAATAGATAAGAACTAAAATGCAAAATTCCATAGAGAACTTTATAGTTTCTTTCTTCAGGAGTTTTTCAATAACCTAGGGGCAAAACTACCTTAGAGAAAGTGGGGGGAGGTCAGGAGGGAAAAAGACAAGACCTAGGTTAGTCCTATATTAGTCAAGTCTGGAATAATTGTGCTGTGGGGTATTAGGGAGAAAAGAAATATTTACAAGAATCTCTGCAGCCCCCTTGTCAGGCACTCCTACAATGCCTCATTTGATTCTTGGACCAATCTGGTGAGATATTCATTTCATCCATAAGGAGTCTCAAAGAAGGTCCAGTATATTTAACCCAATTCCCTTTTTCGATCTCGTGAGGCTTTCGGGAAAGAAACTATAAATATGTAACACAAAAAGAAACAATAAGGACTATATCAAAGACATTTCTGAAGTTTACAAGTTTTACATTTACTATCAGGAATCAATCCATCCCCTAAAATATCCATAATTCTAATCAACATGAAGGGCCTCCTCTAAATAATTAACTTACAGATAAGATTGTAAAGAGAAATCCAATTTGTAGATGCATTGCATTCCAGCAGGAGGAAGTCTAACAACAATAACAAAAGGTAGGGATGGAAGACTACCAGAGTGCGGAAGAGACCACTTTTGCTGTTGACGAAGTGAGCAACATTGTGAAAGAGGCTATAGAAAGTGCCATCGGTGGCAACGCCTATCAGCACAGCCAAGTCAATCAGTGGACCACAAATGTCGTAGAACAAACTTTAAGCCAACTCACCAAGCTGGGAAAACCATTCAAATACAGTGTGACCTGTATAATTATGCAGAAGAACGGAGCAGGACTACACACGGCGAGTTCTTGCTTCTGGGACAGCTCTACTGACGGGAGCTGCACCGTGCGATGGGAGAACAAGACCATGTACTGCATCGTCAGCGCCTTCGGACTGTCCATCTGACTGACCTCCTCATCCCCCCAGGCTCTTTCTCCTCTGTCTCAACATTTCTCCGATCTTCTAACCACCAGCCATAAATTCAGTGAACGGCTTTCCCACTCTTTGTTTTCTGTGGCACTTTCTACATGCAGAGAAAACCCAAAAGACCGCACTGTCCTGTGATCAGCACACCCTCAATCACAGATCGTTCTTGGGCAGTCGGAACCTGGACTGCCACGTGACCACACTCTGAATATCTCTGTTCAAAGGTGCTACACACTCAACCTGCTAGTGTGAACCTTTCTCTACTCTGAAATCATTCAAACACACTAATTTTTCCATACTTTGTACTTTTGTTAAAAAAAAGGTAGGAGTATACTAGGACAGTATTGTTTATACAAAGTGTGGTCCACAGATAACACGCTAAAATCTTGGGGTGCCTGCTGGGGTAGATTTGCCAAAAGGTTAGTCAAGTTTAAGCTTCTGGGATACCTGCTGTGACATCTTACCTAATTTTATACTTGTAAGTTTAAGTTATTTTCCTTCAGAGGAACCTTCCCAAAATTATAGCAGAAGTTGTCAATGAGTCTTATCAAAATGATGTCTTGGAGAGAAAGAGTGGGTTACATCATATCTAAAGTAAGTCATAGGGTTGAGGAAGAGTTTTGTAAGATTGAAAAGACTTGAGCTTGTTATAAATAGTGAGGAATGAGCCAGCAGGGCAATGTAGTCCTTTCCACTTGTTTGTTTTGAATCTTTAAATAGGTTATATGAGGCTCATTTTCTTCAACTATAAAATGAAGATAACAATATCTATCTTACATGGTTGTTGTACCAGTTACTGTCAATATAAGGAGAGTGTCTAAACAAATACATGGTGGTCACTCAATAAATAAATGTTGCTAAATATTACTATCATTACAACAAACATACAAGCTAAGAATGCATGGGGAACTGAGGCAGCAAAAGCTGAAATGACCTTCCCAGGGTCATTCAGCTGTTAAGTGGGATCCAGATATCATATCCAGCAGGCCAGTGCCAGGGTACACTGTGTTGACCATGACAAGAACTCCTTCCTTGAGCAAACTTTAGTCGGGCTCATCTGAGCCTTCTTTCCAAGTAGGTCTCAACCTGGCCCCTGTCCTGTTGAGTCCAGTTTCTTTTGTTGTGTGTTTTTTATTGATTTTTAGAGAGGGGGGGGGATGTGAGAGGGAAACATCAATTGGCTGCCTCCTGCATGCTCCCTACCAGGGATAGAGCCAGCAACCCTGCCAGGTGCCCTGACTAGGAATCGAACCCCAACCCTTCAGTGCATGGGACAACGCCCAACCAAATGAGTCATACCAGCCAGCCAGGGCGGTTGAATCCAGTTTTAACAAATAATTCTGTTAAGCCAGTTTATAAAGAATCCATCCACCCTTAACATCTAAGTCCTTGGCTTGTCTTTTGCAAGAATTCTGTTAAGCCAGTTTAACAAGAATCCCCTACCCTTGATATCTAATCAAATTCCTCTTAGTAATTTTTCATCCATTGACTCCCTGACTCTGCTCATTGGCTGTAAAACCCCAGCTGTCTTTGCTGTATTCAGAGTTGGGTTCAATCTCTCTAACCTACTGCAATCGTCTTGAATAAAATCTTCCTTGCTATTTTTAGCAAGTGTCTGGAACAATTCTTTTCTTTTACAATCACTGTGCTGTATTACCTATGAAACATGATGAAACAGCAATTTAGTTGTAATGCCATTAAACTCAGTTAGAAATGCAGTATTACACCATAGTTAAGGGCAAGGCTTTCTCTGTAGGGGTGGATGAGGTTCTGCTACCTCCTGCATCCGTGATCTTAGGAAAGTTGCCCACATTCTAGCAAAGCTAGCCTCATCTATAAAAAAGGATATAATAGCAATAGTATTTACTTTAAAAGTAGTTTTTTTGTGTGTGAAAATTCCATGTAAGCAGAACATAGGAAGGTATTGAATATTGCTATCTATTTTAAAGTTTTTATTGAGTAAGAAATCCACTGTTATATATTAAGTGGAGCAAACCCTAATTACCCTATTTATTCTGCAAAATACCCTCTACTCCCAGCACCTCCAAGTCCCCATTATTCTGCTATGTATTTTTTCTGTAGCATTTATCACCTAGCATGCTATATGATTTACTCATGCATTAGGCTTATTGGTTTGCTTGGGTTTTTGCCTCTTTTTCTAATTTCCCAGAGGAAGAATTTATTGTCCCTGGCCCATGGGAAGAACTCAAGCAATATTTGTTGATTGGATTAATAAAATATTAGCTCTGAAGGAAAAGCTGGTAAGGAAAAAGATAGAGGAAGTTAGTGGAGCTTCAGAAAAATAGTTGGTGGCGTCAGGGCCAAAGCAGGTTCCTTCATATGCCTAATTTTCTTTCAAATTATTGACTTTCTTCTCTCCAGACTGAGAAGTGTCAGGTATAGGGTTATTTTCTTACTGGAAAGTAGAATGAAGAGTGGACCAAAGAAAGAAGAGAAAGGAGGAGGTAGAAAGGTTTATCTGAGGAAGAATAAGAGAATACTGCTAAACCAGAATCTGCATTGTAACAAGATACCTAGGAGATTTGGATACATATTAAAGCTTGAGAATCCTGGTTAAAAATAGCATTTCTCCAAGGTTGGATTGCCAATAGCAGAATCACCCTGGGACACTTGATAAACATTCAGATGCGTGGGACTACTTTGACCTCACCTAATGAGAATCTCTGAATATGGAGCCAGGGATCACCATTAACCAATAGCCCAGGTGATACTCATACACAGTAACATTTGAGAACCACCATTCAATATAATTAAGCATCTGAGATTTAGATCTTTTCGAGTTAGATGGAACAAAAGAGACTATGTGGGTTTTTGTTTGTTTGTTTTAATCCTTGCCCAAGAATATGCCCATTGATTTCATTGATATTAGAGAGAAGGGAAGCGGGGACAGGGAGGGGGACCCAGGGAGGGAGAAAGGAGGGGAGAGAGAGAGAGAATCCATTGGCTTCCTCCCACATACGAACCCAAAACCCAGGTATGTGCCCTGAGTGGGACCCCAACCCACAACTTTTCGGAATATGGAATGATGCTCCAACCAACTGAGCCACACTAGCCAGGGCAGGCTATGAGATTTAAAACAAAATATTGAATATTGGAATATTGCTCTCAAAATTCTAGAGAGCTGGGCCAAATTAGAGCTAATTATCAAAAACAGGCAACTAAACAGAGGTTAGCTTCAGGGAAAGATGGTTCACTGGATCACTTAGAATCAGTTTTTCCCAGTCGTTGACAAAAAGGGTTCCCAGGGGAGCTATACAGGCAGTTTTTAAACAGACGACCTGGGAGATAGGGCCACCGAAGGAAAGCTTCCAGTGACCAGAGTTATATTTATCTTCCTGCCTTAGGCACTCACCAATTATAAGCACTAGAGATGGGAGTTGGCCTCCCTGGTGGAAAAGGAGGCACAAGAGTAGAGGAATGCCTCTCTATGTCTTGGTTTATTATAAAGGAACAGATCTTAGAAAAATTTGTGAGCAACAACCCACAAACAACATAAAAAAAGAAAAAGATTGTAAGCCGGCGGTATGACAGTCAAACTAGCATCAACGTTTTAAGAGTGGAAGAATATAACAATGAGGAAAAATAAAGAAAAAAATTACTCCCTGGCTGGTGTGGGTCAGGTGTTATCCCATGCACCTACAGATTGCTGGTTTGATTCCAGGTCAGGGCACATGTCCGAGGTATCAGGCTCGATCCCCAGTAAGAGGGGGGCATGCAGGAGGCAGCCAATCATTGTTTTGCTCTCACATCGATGATTCTCTCTCTCTTCCTCTCTTTTTAAAAATCAATAAAATATTGTAAACAACATAAAATAAAGAAAAATAAAGAGACATTCTACATGCTTATTACTCACAGTGTGGTCCATGAACTAGCAGCATCAGCTTCCTCTGGGAGCTTGTTAGGAATGAAAACTCTTAAGCTCCGACTTAAATACCCCTCAGAAGGAATCTACATCCTAACAAGATCCCCAGGTGATCTGTGGTCACGCTAATATTCCAGAAGCACTGAGCCACATCCGAGTTCTCAAAGTTGGCCTGTACATTAAAATCACATGAGAAGCTTTTAAACTTGGGATGCCCGAACCCTCCAGACCCTCTTTAACAGGATTTTCCAGGCGTCCGAATTTTTAAAGCTCTCTATGTATAGCCGAGGTTGAAGACCACTTCTGTAGTTCTAAAGTTACAGCACAGGTATAAGACTTTGGCCTTTTTCAAAGAAGGTGGCCTCTGACTTTTTTTTAAATTAAGCCATAGCATTCTATATACGACAAAACTTAAGGTACCAGCAGATGAACAGAAATCTGGATGATGATTTAGTGAATCACTGATAAGTACAGGGAAAGCACCATATATAGATACGTAGTTAATGGCTAATAGAGAGGTGTGTTCTCCTGCCCAATGCATGAAACCCGTCAGATGCTCGTCAATTCAGGTAATCCTCTGAGAATAAGTAGAAAAGCTTGAAGAAATCTAAAATGCTACTCTAATGGCTTAAGTATTTGTGAGGACAAGTGGTATTTGCATCTCTTCTTCCAGTTAAAGGTCATGACATTATAAGAGAACTGAGGATTTGAGATATGAATGTGTTTTAATAATCAGATAATCTGGGTCTAAGGTGAAAGGTCTTTGTTCAGATCCACAATACATGTTTTAACTACTTGTGCAATAAACAGACACTGACTTTTACATGCTGGAAAGCACGATTTAAATATGTGAATTCTTCATAAACTCTACACTATGCTGTATACCTGAGACCAATAGAAAATAATATTGCACGTGAACTGTAATTGAAAAACAAAACACCAAAAATATAAATATTTGAATTCTTATGGTAATTCTAGTGTGTTCTTATAGTAAAAGCAATTTAAAATTCAAAGGAATGAGATCACAAAGTAGAGATATAGTAGGATCATTTAAACTGAAAGGTAGAAGACTAATACAATGCTGAAATAAAACTATACAATTAGATGTTATGAAAGGCAGTACACATATCAGTAACCTAAAAAAA